GCTCTTATGAAACATAAATAGACCGACAAATAGAATATTTCTTTGAGAAACCTAAACATAATTTTTTATTGTGACCATTCGATCCATCGTAAAATATTTTCAGGTTGAATCAATGATTATTTATTAATATTATTAAATATTATATAATACTTCAAGTAATAAATTACATATAAACACATTATTAGTTAAATATATGAATTTATACACATTAAATGGTACAATAATTATACATATCTAATATATTAACATTTGATTTTGTTTTGTCAAAAATATATTTAATATATTTCAATTTTTTTTTTTATAAAATATAAAATGAACCGATATGACTGCTTATTTTTTAACTGAATCGACGATTTTTGGAGAACCGGCTCATCCCAACGAATCGAACTTGTCAAGTGACCTATTTTCGATCCGAAAAGCTAGTCTATTCATATCAAACAATTCATATCCTTCATTTAGAAATGAAGAAATATAATAATTATGTTAGATACTCCGTCCAATAATCCAAATAAAGTGGTTCATCTATTTTATTTTACAATGATGTTCCTCTGAAAAATGTTGTGTAATATTTTTTTTATGTTTTATTAAATGGATAATTAAATTGTGGGGAATTGCTTTACGGAACAATTCTGTCGAAATTTATAACCGTCAGATCATCACGTAATCGTCGTGAATAGTTGATCTAACGGTTACAAATCCCGATGAAATGATTCCGTAACGGGACCGGAGAGTCACCCTAAATTGTCACTCAATTAGGTGTTGACTTGGCGTCCATATTTTTCAAACAATTCTTTGCGTTTTTCACCAACTTCGTAAATTATACTGATGACTCTTTTTTACTTCTCTTCCTCTTAAATTATTACCACACTACTTACCGTGGGCTGAATGGTAAATAAAAAACTTAATTTTTTTTTTTTTTTTTGTACAGGGACCTTCCAGTTTCCGAATCCACTGGGGAACCGACTAATCCGGAATCGAGCCGGGTAGGACCACAAGGGCGGCAAAGCTCTCCCTCAAGAGTTTTAACACTGCTGCATTCCCAGGGCTCGAACTCGAGACCACTGGTTAAGCTGGAAGAGACTCAAGTCATCTCATCCAAGCGCTCTTGGATATAGAAAACTTATTATGATAGTTTAAAGAATGCATCTTGATAGGATATTGTGTACTTATTTTTGACTTAGAAAACTTATTTTGATAGTTTAAAGAATGCATCTTGATAGGATATTGTGTACTTATTTTTGACTTATCCACGAGTTCTTTTATATATAAATTAAAAAAAATAAAAAAAATAGCTAATTACACCACCTATCTATTTTGTTTAAGTGGTATTATTTGATATCTTTAACAATGTGGATTTGCTCCAACCTCCAACACGAATATATTTTGAATAAAAAAATATAGCAAACTCTAACAATAATGTAAGCCAAGTAATTCAACTGTTATGAGAATTGAGAGGGTGTTCTCGATCACATAGAGTGAGTGCTTTTGTTTTGTTGTTTTGTTGAACTAAAGTGTTCGGGAGGAACACTTAGATTAGTTTGAGTGGATTCAAACTAAAAAATATATAAATGATTTGTGGTCAGAAAAGTAATAGTTCAAAGGTAGTGGAGAGGAGTCGACATTCTACAACATT